CACATGCTCTATGACCTATAGTTTCTCCCTTGTGTTTCATTGTGCACGTATTTGGTTCTTCCTGTTCCTGCTACTAGTGTGTTCATTGATTTCAGATGTTTCTCGTTGGTTCCCTCGTTAGTCATGTGTTTAAAAGAGTGTTCAGTTGCTTGGTTCCTTTGTCCGGTGTCTAAAGTCTACTCCATGTGCGTTCCCTATGTTCCCTGCTTTTTGGATTAATAAAGACTGTTATCATTGTGACTCTCCTATACGTGTTCCTCGCTCCAACACAGTAGCAGTACGTGACACAGTGCTTCTACATCCCTGCAAAGCAAAACTTCACTGAGTCTTTGAAGGAGATGGTTCCTTTGGTCATCACTGCCATTCTGTAAGAGAGATACATTGGATACATTGTCTATGAAAATACTGCATTGCATTGATGCGGAGTGCCATTCTACAGGCAAAAATCACTTTACTAAAGCCATGAGCTTTTTATTTATGTAATGAATGTAAAAACACACTGTTCTCTTATGTCAAAAGTCAAGGATTAAAATGACTTGCCATAACCACCATAGTCATTGAGAGGGACAAGAGATGTAACAGTAGCTGTGGACCAATATGAGCCTTAAACTATTAGATACCACACAACCCATTCTGTATAATGATGAATAATGTTTGATCCTTACTTCCAAGGGTCAACTGCATCAGGAAATTAAAGAGTCCTTAAAGAGCTATTTGAGAAATAAAAAAAACATTTTTTCACCAGATCAGAGAATGTCTTGTGAAAATGCTTTACAGAGGGAAACTATATGAATATGAAGTATAAATTAATAAACAAAGTTCCAACACTAGGGATTGCACTCAGGAGCTCAGACACCTCAGACAACATTGGGAAAATGCCAATGAAATTGCTGTAGCTGGCCATTCCCCTGAAATACGGGTATAAATAGGCAGTTTTTCGGAGCTGAATGCAGCATCTAAGATTACTAAGAGGCGCCCAGAAGGTTAAATCCTCAGAGACTGCGCCTCATCCCCTCTTGGGACCTCTCAGTGGTCCCTCAGACTCTACAGAGAGATTTGTTTGAGCCCCTTCAGTAAGTTGAACTTAGTGCCCTCTCTATGAAGACGGCCTTCCTGACTGCGCTCCCTTCTATCAAGAGGATGGGGATCTTCAAGCCCTCTCAGTTAGCAAATCGTGCCTAGAATTCGGGCTGGGATATGTGCCCAAGGTTCCCACCACTCCTTTTAGAGATCAGGTGGTAACCCCAAATGAGGGGGACCCTGACCTGTCTCTGTTGTGCCCAGTGCATTTATTAGACTGTCTGAACAGCTCTTTGTCTGGTTTGGAGGACAGCAGAAGGAAATGCTGTCACCAAACAGAGGATCTCCCACTGGATTGTGGATGCAATCCTGACAGCCTATCAGGCCAGGGGCTTATCCAGCCCACTGGGAGTGAGGGCTCACTCGACCTGCGGTGTTGCTGCTTCGTCAGCTCTAACAAATGGGACCTCGCTAGCATCTGTGGAGCTGGAGGATGGGCTAGGCCGAAAGGCCAATTTACACACTGCACAAACAAAAACGATAAAACACTAACAAAAAAGTT